GGGGGGGGGGGGGGCTCCGTCTCGTCCCCACAGGGGTAGGTAGGCAAGGCCTCGACTCCAACCAAACGGCCAAGCTCGTCGACAGGGTACGTAAACGGATTGCCGGTGATAAGTCGTGGCCGGTTTTGCGGGCCCCTCAGTCGGCCCCCTCACCATCGCTAACTCTGCCGCTATGCTGCAAGACAAAGTCATGAGCGTGCTCCGCACTGTTGATTCGGGTATGATGCGTTTGGAACCGGATGTATACGTTAACGGACAGTACATCACGGTAGCCGATGACCTTACCCCTCGCCGTGTAGAGCTACTCTCCGACTTAGCCCACGAATTCATGTCGGTCAGCCAGCCAATTGCCAATGCTCACACCGTCAACATTCACCTTCTGTCGGGAGAAGTTATCGCCAAGCCTCACGAGCAAGCAACGACCACAGATTGGTTGCGTTTGTACGTGAGGGAACAGGCGTTGATGGGCGGTGCGGAGCTGGCTAGAGCTGCGCTGGCTGCCATGACGCTGTCGCCGGGGGAAGGGTGGTCCTCCAGGGCCGCCAGTGTGGTGTCCGCATTTGGTGCCGCGCGCGCCCACCCCGAACGCCCGTACATAACCGAGCAGGCGCTCTTCTGGTGTTTCGTAACTCCGGTACAGATGACGGCTTTGTATGATTGTGAGGGACAAGTCTTGCTGCCCAACGCGTTCGACCGCAACGGAGTATCCGCGATCTTGCACGAGAAGTCATACCGCACGAACGCTCTCCTGAGTCCGGTACGTATGGAATGGCATGATCCGAAGGGAGTGGCGATAACTCGACGGGGTCAAGTAGCTAAGGGGTTATTCTGCGAATTCGTTGGTGTACTAGCTTCCCGCAATGCTTCGTACCTCATACCCACGGCATCGCGAAAACTGGTCCACGTTGGCGTCCCAGCCAAGTTGTATTCCATGGCAGAGGCCCGCTCGATGTTTTCAACCGGGGACACGGCACGCCTTCGGCGTCGCCATCCCACCCGCCGACTCAACCGCTCTCCGCGCTAGCCCCTGTTCCCGTTTTCGCCGTCGCCGAAGCCCCAGCCCTACAGGTCGCAGTCTACCAGAACCAAACGGCTACCGTTCCGGGGAGCCACGGGGTACCGTTCGAGGCCCGCGACGCCTCCCTTGATGCCCGTCCACCCGCTGCTCGACCGGCACCGGCACCCATAGCCCCGGCGGCCCCCGCTGCAGCGACGCCACCGGTGGAGCATCCACCTCCGTCGGCACCCCGGGGCGACGTCCTCGACTACCTGCAGTCGCAGAACCTCTGCTTTCGCCACGCCTTCTCCGGTAGGTGCCATCGCTCCCCGTGCAGGTGGTCCCACGAGCTCCCCGCCGCTTTCTACAAGAGCCTCGCTATTTGGCAACCGGGACATGAGGGGCGGCACAGGGTGGCGTCGATGACGGCCTCTCAGTACCGTCTGGCTTACGATCTTGGGCCGGTCAACGGAGGGGACAGCGAGTCGGACGAGGACCATGCGGGCCACGCTCCCCCGGCATCGGAAGGTTCGGCCTGAAGGTGCGCCCCGGGCACGGCCAGCCCAGACCTGGGGGACTCTTTCGCCGCGGTAGACGTCGAGCCAGGTGAGGCTAGGGGAGGTAGAGACCAGCTCTGGGTCGAGGGTCAGATCTGGCATCGGAACCGTCGTCACCGGCCCCGGTCGGTGGAGATCTTGCTGAATACGGGCGCGGGAGGTGGTAGCTTCATTTCCCTCGAGTTTTGGCGTACACTCAAGCGACATCTGCGACGACGTCTGGACACGTGTAGGGCAGGGGCCTTGGCAGCGCACGATAGTGAGACACCGCCATTGCGCATTCTAGGATCAGTAGCCTTACCAGTACTGTTTCAGGGTGATACACGGGCAAGGGCAGTTGAAAGCGTGTCGTTGAGGGGTTACCGTACGCGTTCATCGTAGGAGCGGATTTCTTCAGAAGGAACGGTAGCTTGCTCGACTTCCGCCCCGCTATGGGGTTTAGACCTGTGTCATCAGCGCCTTGGGTGCCGCTTCTAGCGACCATCCCGCACGCACCAGCGGCTGCTAGTCCTCTCTGCATAGCACGGGACCGGTTTTGTCTGGTCACCGCTCGCGAGAACACCCCCTTGCCCGAGCTGCCCATTTCTCCCGCAGAGATGCCCAGCTACGAAGACATCGCGTGGGAGGACGACGTCTCCTTCGAGTGGGATGTGCGGCACGTGCCCGAGAGCACCACGGTGGAGAGCTTTACGGCGCGCGCGGTGGAGGCAGCGGCAGTGGGTCCCCAACCGCAGGACCGGTAGCTCGTGATTTTCCTGCCGACGGCGCGGTTTGATCTCGCACAAGAAGCGGTAGTAGGGGTCGCTGGAGCAGTGATGTGGTGGACGCCAGGGTCGCCTGTCCATTGCAAGCTTGTCAACCGAGGCAAAGAGACGGTATCGATTGAGGGTAGTCGCGTGATAGCCCGCATGGTAGCCCTCAACGTCCGCGATCAACCTTGTTTCGAGTCGCTTTTTGACACCACCCCCGCTGCGTCTGATCCGCCGCTGCCGCCTCGAGAAACCGCTCCCCCCAGAGACGCGAGCACACCAGCCGACCCCGGCACCCGCGTTCGTGTTGAAGACGTCAACATGGGGCCGTTGGGATTTCTCAAGCAGCAGCTTGTCGAGGTACTTGCCGCTTTCATCGAAGGCGGTTTGTTCCCCATCGACCCGAAGCGGGTACCGGCTTGCATGAACGGTGAGCTACAGCGTCCTTTGATCAACGAGTTTTGTACCCCTTTCGCCGCCAAGCAACGGCGTTTATCGCCAGAGGAACGACGCATGATTAGAGCCGATGCACAGCAAGTGGTTGACCGAGGAGTGATAGGACGTTCCATGTCCCCGTGGGCAGCCCAATGCCTGTGTGTTAAGAAGAAAGGCGGCACCCTACGGCTGTGCATCGACTGGCGTGAACTCAACAAGCTCTTGGTGTCGGATAGCGGTGGCCTTGGTGACATGCATGCGCTATTCGATGGGTTGAAAGGCAATAAGTATTTCACGCAGCTTGATCTCGCCTCCGGTTTCCACCAGATGGAAATCGCCGAGAAAGACCGTTAAAGAACGGCCTTTCGAGATGCTGAAAGGATGCTTTGGGAGTTCACTTGTGCAGGGTTTGGACTGACGGTACCGCCTGCAGCTTTCACCCGTAGGGTAAAATCGGCGCTGGGGTACCAGCCGGGTGTGTTTGCTGGCTTGAGGACATCCTCATTGCTTGTGACACATGGGAAGAACACCTTGCGACGCTGACGCTCGTCCTCACCCGTCTCTTAGCTGCTGACCTGTAGGTGTACTTTGCTAAATGCATATTTGGTGCCGCGTCCCAGGAGTCCCTTGGCATGATCATCGACAGCACGGGTTTGTACCCCGCTCCGTCTAAGCTAGTCGCGATTGGTCGCATGCCTCGCCCACACACGGTAGAGGAGTTGCGCACGTTCTTGGGTTTGACCGGCTACCTCCGACAGTTTGTACCCAACCACAGTCTGACGGCAGCACCGCTCACCAATATCTTGCGCAGCAAAGCTTTTGCCTCGAAACGTGCACGCAAGCTCCCCATCCCTTGGACCACTGCAGAGGAAGACGCTTTCCAACCGTTACGAGGAACGTTGGCGTCGCCGACGGTGCTCGCCTTTCCGGACCTTTAGCGACCTTTGAGCTCCACACCGACACCAGCTCGCTAGGCGTAGGGGCCTTTCTCATGCAGACGATCGAAGGGGTGACGAGAGCAGTAGCGTTTGAGAGCCACAGGTTTTTGCTGACAGACGCTAGACGGGGCCCTACGAGGGAGTGCATGGGTGTGTTGTGGTCAGTAGACTACTTTCATCCTTACCTCGCTGGTAGACAGTTCAAACTGGTGACCGATTGCTCCGCCCTGAGGTGGTTGTTTCGGAGTCGAGAGCTCTGCCCAAAGTTGCACAGGTGGGCGTTACGGCTCATGGAGTACGACATGGTGTTGGAATGGAAGGCGGGCGTGGAGCACGTGGTGCCAGACGCGCTTTCGCAATTCCCGGTTGCAGGGACTGCCGAGGTGTCGAAGGGGCGCGTCAGTCGAGGCTCTAGGCCCAGAGTTGGACGGTGTGAGGTTGGCCGATCTAGAACCTGCACAGACAGCTCAGACGGAAGATGCGGTAGCCTACGTTTCTCTTCCACCCCCGGCCCAAGGGGCCGTTGACTCTAACCTTTCCGCCCTTCGAGCGTTGCCCTTTGCGATGGGCGCGGTGTTAGATGCTAAGCCCAGGGAACTCCGCCGCAGCGGCAGGACTCGCACGCCATCCGTACCCCTGAAGCCCATCGGAGGCGTGCAGCTGCCACCGGTAGGAGAGACGGGGCTTCTACAGGACGAGCAAGTGGCTGGCCCCACACCTGTCGAAGCCGTGCCGCCCGCACCCCCGCTTCCAGCGCTACCGCCGTCGCCCGTTCAGCGTAGCCACGACGACATCGGTGAAGTGCTCGCGGCACGTGGGGATGTACCGAGGTCGTCGTTAGGACCAGACGTTCGTGGGACGTCAGCCATCGACCGGGCGGCACGGGTTCTCACCAAGCCATCCATCCTCGCACAACGGTAACGGGACGACACCCTTTTGGGTCAGGTTCGCAAGAGTTTGAGTGAGAAAGCGAACACGGGCCAGGGGGGAAGTGTGGATAAGCTGTACGATTTAGGCGCTGAAGATGTGATCCGCTACGACGATGGCAAGGGTAGGAGACTACCAGCTATTCCCGACTCCATGATAGCCGATATCATTGCCTTAATACACACGATGCATGGTCATGCGGGGATTGGGGCAACCTTATCACTGCCGCGAGATCATTTGCACTGGCCGACGATAACACGTGACACCCGGCAGTACGTGCTACCATGCAGCTGTCGTAGGCGCAAGAGACCGCAGAGCAAACGTGTAGCCATGATGCCAGGTAGACCGCTAGAACCGTGGAACGAACTGCAGATGGACATTCTCAAAATCGACAAGCCTTCACTCACTGGAAACAACTACATCCTGCTCGTGGTAGATCGCGCTTCTAAGTTCCCTTTCGGCTTCCCGTTGGAGACCAAGCAAGCTGTGGGTGCAGCTCGAGTGCTGGTGGAGCTATGTCCGACTTTCGGTGTCCCAAGAACCATTCACTGTGATGGGGGTTCAGGATTCGGAGCAGAGGTGGTGAAGCATCCTTGCAGGTGGCTACGTGCAGACATCGTGTTCAGTGGTGCGGATCACCCACGGGGCCAAGGTGCAGTCGAGAGGCTGAGAGAATGGTTGCAAGAACTACTAGCAGAGCTGTGCAGGTCATGGCCCGACAGGTGGGATGATTATTTGTACCCATCGATTTGGATCAAGCTTACGCTGCCTGACACCGTGCTCCCCTCTCACATGACTCCCTTCGAGCTTCTGTTTGGCCGCAAGCCCGGCACGACGTTGGATTCGTTAGTCCCCCTCACAGACGAGACAGGTGCGGAGGGAGGGCTAGACAACTTCGTAGAGCGACGAAAGCAGAACCTCCGTGAAGTTCGCATGGTGTTGGAGAGGTGGCACGAGTTGCGGGTAGCGGCGCGTGCGAAGGCCAACGCGACGTTCGAGAAGTCGTCCGCCGGAGTGGCAGTTGGGAGAAACAGCTTGGTGCTGATTCGCGAGACGGAGAGCAGGAGGCATCGTGATCGCCGAGAACGGAAGCTCCAGCACGACCTGTACACCGGGCCCTGGAAAGTGACAGACGTCATACAACCGGGCCTCAGTGTAGAAGTCAGCTTGCATGGTAGAAGGAAACGCAGCCGAAGAGTGTCTACCGCCGATGTGAAGCCTTTCCACCTCAGACCTCCCTCGCTCAGACATTCCATCGCTGACGAATTTGCGACGTATGCTTGGGGACCCGACTTTTAACTCCCTTCTGGAGACGCTGAGCTGTTGGAGTTCGTCTCGATTGCCGACTGTCGTAGAAGCCGATCGGGCACTCGAGTGGTTTGGGAGTATAAAGGGAAGTCGGGCAGTGGAGCAGTGTCGGAGTGGTTGTCAGAGGATGTCATGCTGCGGAGTTTCACCCCCCTTCAGCTTGATGGTTTCGTCGCTCTTTGGCACATGTACCGCCCCCAGCAAGCGAACGATCTTCCGCCCGTCTCATTCAAGCCCCGTGCCCCGCTGTCGCGTGCCGAAGCCTTGAAGCTGTTTCCGATAGGTTTTGCCTGCCAGAGAGAACTAGACGGAGGAGTGAACCTTCAAGGCCAGGTGTTCGACTTCCTACACCTGTACTGGCGCGTGCGTTACAGCGAAAAAAACTGAGAGGAGCTCTCCCGACGAGAGCTTGAGCGGCTTTCACGATGACGCTTGCTTTATGGCGCGCACAAATCCGAGCCGGCGCTGTGCGTTCATGATGTAGGAACAGGGCTGCCCTCTGCAGGTGGTTTACTACCACCCGTCCACGAATCGGCAACCCCCGGATGAATTGGCTTATGCATGGGTGTTTGTATTTTTACAGTCGTTTTCTAGGTAGCTCTAGACACACGTACATTTCTTGGGTATCGTAGGGGTAGACCGATGGCCGCGGCCGTTTGCCGGTAGTTTTACCATGCCTGCACAAGCGTCGGTACACTTCCCACTTTAGTTAAGATTGATCAGGTATCGCTGCATGGTCTGAGGAGTTCGTTCCGTGGAGTGTGTATCGTACAATAAGCAACTTATCTGTGGGTGTGAGATGTTGCTGTCTTGGATATTTACTTTGTACAAGGAAAAGTGTCTTCCCGTAGTTTGAGCACGTTGCTCTGCTCCGTCTGGATGTCGATATTCGAGTGATCCAGTTTCATTTAGGGTGACATTCATGAGACTGGTTGTTATATAGTGTTGGATGTTCCGAGTTGTATGCAAGAGTACTGAGTACCGTACCCTTTGTTGGAACGCGGCATCGTTTTGCCGTGCGACGTGTTGTAGATGGTTGCAAAGTGTCCTTGCGGGAGGTGTGATACCGTTTGGCAATGCGTTTTGGTGTTGTAGGAGCTTTGCGCAATGGGATTTTCCCTGGATGGCCAGGTCTTTCCCGCGGTGTAGATGAGGGTCGGGCTAGCCACTACAGTACAGTGAATTCACCAAGCGAGGGACGGTTTTTCAATAAGAGTGTTTTACGCCCGCGGGTCACTTTGTGTTTTCGGTCGCTAGCCTGAATTCTTTGACTCTCGGGATGGGGGCGAAGGGTTTCTCCCGGACATTGGGTTTTTCCTTCGCACAAGTCGATGCCGGGCTTGTTCAACGCGCAGTGAGAATGTCGAGATGAGCGATTTTTATGTAGCTTTTTTCTTCGCTGTAACCTCTCGATATTTTCGGTTGAACTTTCGGTCCAACTTATAGGCATCGCATGGATCCGGTCGCCCCGGTGGTCTAGTTGGTATCCCCGAAACCTTCTAGAGGTCAGGTTAGGGGTTCGAATCCCGGTATAAGCGAGCTTTTCTTTCAAAGTGAGTTTTTCTCTCGCTTCCGCTCCTGGCCTAGTGGATAGTGCTAGTTCGTGTCCCGATCAACCAATCCAATGCAGAGCGATGTGGCTCTACGCTAACGGTCCTTGTGCTAGGTTCGAGGTTCTTGTCAGTGGGTTGCTTTCTGTCTCGGACGGTTGTCGCCGAAGATATTAGATCAAAGACTCAAAGACCGAGGATGATAAATGGTGCTTTGAAGAGGAAACTTTGTCGTTAATTCTGCTCCCGATTACCAAGTACAACATGTCACATGCCAGACAATACGGTAGCGGGAATTAATTGCGGACACCGCAAAGTGGCGCACTTCCTCTTGAAAACTACCAAGTTTTTTACTGTTTTTTTTTTGTGTTCACTTCAAATTAGCGTTCACAGCACTGGTGCCGTTTACTCCAACCCGTGGTCACACAGAAGAGCCCCTCTCTACCCTCCCCTCCTGCGGTAACTTGCCTTCGATTATTAATGCGAGAAGAGTTCAGCACTCACTTCTGCTGTACTCAACTCAAGCCGATCAACACTGCTGCTATTCGACCGAACTCCTGNTTGTCGTTAATTCTGCTCGCTGCTGTACTCAACTCAAGCCGATCAACACTGCTGCTATTCGACCGAACTCCTGCACTCACTTGCTGGAACCAACCACCGCTTCGAACTCTGTCAACGCACTGGTAACCGGACACTCAAGCTCGCCTTCTGCTCTGTTAGATATACTCGCAGCAGTATCTGGTCGTGAGGATCCCAGGGGGACACGTGTTGGGAATTTCTTGTGCTGAAGGGTACCACCGGTGTAGTCACGGGGACCCATTGGGCGTGGTCGGTGCGATGATGAGGAAGGCTTGCGTGCGTGCTGCGCTCTTCTTCTTCTTCTTCTTCTTCTTCTTCCTCCCTCTATCTCCACCACCACCACCGTCTCTCTCCAGTCAAGTTTCCTTCTCCTACTCTCTCTCCATCTCTCTCTCAACCTCTCTCTCTCGGTCTAACACGGCCGACTACCCAGTGCCCCAAAGCAACGTCCAGAACGTGCTTGCTGCACCCCGCGTAGTATACCTTTCACACTAGTGCGACGATATCATGGTATCTGCGCGCGGGCGTAGCCTTCCGGGGGTTGTGCAGTCACGCGCAATAGGTAGACTCCCATAACAACATAAATCATGGAGGGCATCGACCTCTCCGCCCTTAGCGAGCAAGAACTACCGCAAAAGTGGAGGAGATCGTCCAGCAACGAGTACAAGCCGAACTTGAAGCAAACAGAATCAACGAGGGTGAAGTCACCTACGCCCAAGCACCATCAGCCGGCAACCCAGTCCCACCTACCGGCAGCCAGCCATCACCCTCCAGCCAGGGTAAAACAGCTACCTTCAACGACCCCAGCAGCGTTGCACACATCGTCGCGCAAGCGGCCAAGGCGACAGCTGAGGCCATCGCTGAACAACAGGGCTTTGCCCGCTCAGGCACGGTACGTGTCAATCCTGGCTCAGAAATAGAACCTTGGCTTGGTAGCGTGAAGAATGAGCAGGATTTGTATATAATGTTTGATGTTTTTCGTAGTAAGATGATTTCATATTTTCAGGAGGAGGGTGTGTATGATGCGTTGGAACTGGAGGTCAAGGCCAAGGTCGGAAAAAGGGGTGTGAATATAGGAGACCTTCGGAGACTTTTTGGGAATGAAGTGGTAGACAAGTCATTCAAACTGTGGAATATCCTGATCAGCAAGGTTTTGTATCCCCCGATTCAGAGCTTATTTCTGGCGTGTGAGAGTCCCCAAAAGGGCTGGAAAATCGTGACAGAATTCTATCAGGAGAAAAAGCAGTCAGAAAAGTCGAGGTTGGAGCAGGACTGGAAGGAGTTGAAGATGAGAGAGTCCGAGAGTCCACGGGATTACATTGCCCGCTCAGAGGCCCTTCGCCTGCGTCTCGCATCTGTAGGCACAATTAAGGATGAAACAGATGCCAACAAAGACATTGCTCGTGGCCTTCCCTCTTCGTTGTATGCCGTGCAAAAAGGAATACTGCTTGCCCATGATGTCCTGACGTTGCGTACCCTTGAGACTGTGGTGAGGGACGCCCACGTGGAGATGGAGCGCGAGAGGAGCAAGGGGGAGAGGCGCGAGGTGGAGCTCGCTCTCGCCGCGTCCGGCATGGGCCGGCGCGGCGGGGGAAATTGGGGGGCATCCGGGGGTCAAGACGGCGGACAGGCAGCAGCTGGCGGCCAAAATTGTGACGGAGAAGAGGAAAAATAGTGACGTGTTCAACGACAACCCCGACGGATTTTGCCGCTACCACCAGTCCGAGCTTTACACCAACGAGCAGTGTCGTCTCCAGCAGCAACTGCGGCGCGCGCGTTCGAGAGAAGGCGCCGCGGAACGCGGCTCGGGCGGCGGTAGCCAGCGAGGGGGCAGACCGCCGCGGTGGCGGCCGATGGGTGAGGCTAGAACGGCAGCAGCACCACACCGGTCATGGTGGCGGTGGCTGGAGCCAAGCCTCACCCCCCCCGCGACCTCTTCGTGGACGTGGGCCTGGTGGTCGTCTGGGGCGTCACCCGGGGGGTCGTGGGCCCGCGGGACGCCACAGCAGCGACGGGCGTGCCGAGAGGGAACGGGCAGAGCGAGGCCCGAGGCACGCGCGTTCTTTGCCACGGAAGAGAGCAGGCGTACGTTGTGTACTACGCCCACGATGGTGGTGGCTACTACGAAGACTACGGCGACTACGACGACGGCTTCTACTACGAAGACGGCTATCACGATGCCTGGTACGCCCACTACGCCGGCGGCGGGGACAGCTACAGCTACCCCTCAGGGTACGAAGGCAGCCGTTCATCGGACGGCGGCATCCACTACGTGTACTACCCTCCTGCCGGCGAAGATTCGTCATCCGAGCAGCAACGTCAGCCCCCCCC